TGAGAGCTATAGCATTTCAACGAGGCTCATCTACAACATGAACAGAAGCAGCGACATTCAACCCAACTGCTTCTTTCTAAGCGTTAATTTGGAACGAACACACAATACCGTAGTGGCAAGTATCCTGACATCTATTCTAAATGTACTGTTTTCTCTGTTAACATCTACCGGTAATGTGATCATCCTCCGTGTCATCTGGAAAAAACAAGAACTTCATTCGCCATCCTTCGTTCTTTTGTCCGGCCTCGCAGCTTCTGATCTCATTGTTGGGCTGGTTTGTCAGCCATCTTTCGTGGCCTATCACATCGCGGAACTCACGGATGATTTTGACGCTTACTGTGCCTTGAGAATTATTCAGAGCATATCTAGCTATACAACAATTGGCGTGTCCTTGGCGACCTTAAGCGGAATCTCCATTGATCGACTTCTCGCTTTAACCCTCCATTTACGATACAACGGGCTTGTCACTATTCGCAAAATAATGCTAACTGCTGTAGTCGTCTGGGTAGTATCAACCTCTGTCGTCCTATTGAGGTTTTGGATAAGCAATTGGTTTTTTGTCCCTGTAGCCGTTCTACTGATAACATTTCTCATTACAGCCCTCAGCACCTGGAAAATATTCCAGATCGTTCGGAGACATCAGCGCCAGATATCTCAGCAACAGCGGATTGCCCAAAGACGTGATGTGAACGTCCTGAAGTCCAGGAAATCGACCATAACTGTACTTTATGTTTATGGTTTGCTTTTACTTTTCTTTTTTCCACTTTTTGTGACGATCTTCGTGGAGTCGTTTACTGGATACACAACTAGAATGAAAATCGTTTATGACTACGTTACTACTGCTGTTTTCATCAATTCCTTCTTGAATCCACTTGTATATTGCTGGAGAATTGGAGAGATACGAAGAGCTGTTAGAAATGCACTGAGGAAAAACAATAACGAAGTCACCATTTTGGAAAGCACATTTCGATCAGTTTCAAAGATATAATTTTGTGCATCAATTGCAAATTTTATGAGTTCTGTGTGGTAAGAAGTATGAAGCAAACTACACTACCATTAATAATTATTCTTAGTCCATTGTGCGTACACACGCACACTACTTAAATATTAATTTGTTTTTTGGCCATAAAATTTTTATTTCTTGTCACCATTATTCATCGCCATTGCCGACCATTTTGCCAATGATTGTCGTTCTGTGATTTCAGTTGAGCTTAAAATTTCGTCAAACACACTGATGACGTACCTCTTTACTGAAATTGTCTTTAAAATGTTAAATACGCCTAAATAATCTTGGTCATCCTGAGCTTTCTTCTTCCTTGAATTTTATAGTTTTCACTTTAGTAACTGGTCTCGCATAGTTTATGTTTCCAGTATACGCAGGTAGTTTTTATTTTCAGTTCTATTATTATTATTATTATTACGATTATCATTATACAATTTTACTATGCTGCGTCTAGCTAAAAGAATTAAGTTTCGTGAAAAAAATTAACGTTATTCTTTAATTTTTCTTTTCTTTTCATCTTGGTCATTAGGCGCAGCGTTATTTGGACATTATTTCCTCTGCTACTTTGCTCACGATAACTGATTCTACTTTCAATTTAAACGTCAACTTGTTTTCTCTTTATTCCTCTTGTTAAGGTAACCGTATACTTTTAGAGATGTCTGAAGTCCAAGTGATGTAGCTCGTCCGGTTTAAACTGTAGATACCTGAACCCCTATAACAAATTAAAGCTAATCATAGAGCTGGCTATCAAACTACACCGATAAATGCGCCACAAGTCAAAGGAAAATTGTTCGTTTGCTCTCAATATTGGGCAGTAGTTACTGTTTAACATGCAAACAACACAGACTTATTTTTTTTATTTTGGAATATTTATTATTTTCTCCTGGTGCGATTTTTGTACGTCTTCTGCATTTTTTACTCCTGTGTCAAAAATGTTATGTAACTTTTCATTGCATTTGAATATGTCAAAAGGCAGACACTATTTTTTGCGCTTTGGATCTGGAAACTGAAAATAATAAAATAACCGCTTTGACTTGTAGCTTTCAAAAGGTGATTTGAAAGCTCCCATTTAGAGGTCGTAAAAACTTCGAAATAGTGTTCTCTTTAATTCAAAGAAGATCAGCTCGCAATTTTTCAGGCTGACCAGTTTCAGCCTATCTAATTTCTTTGTATTTTCTTATATCGACGTGTTAAGAGGTTTTTAATTAAATATGAAACGCTCTTTGTCTCCCTTGAAACACAATATTTGCAAAATGTGTTGGATCAGCTGCCTTGTTTTAATTCAGAATGCACTATTGGCATATTAGTTACATAATTTCCGTGAAAAATTGCATGAGTTACGCGCAGATTGTTGTACTCTTTCTCCAGAGGCTGAAACTCTTCGAAATTGACTTCAAGATGCTCTCTTGTTCTTCAGGTTTCGCAAGGGGCATCATGGAATACATCACCTCGAATGTTTTTTCAGAGTTTATATATAATAAAGCTCCCATTCTTTTTTGTGACATGGCCGGAAAACGAATATGAAAACAAGCTCTTAGTTTCCACTGACACAGAACATCCTGTTCAAAACAGCTTAAATTACACGATGATAGAAGGAGAATTTTCGGAATAAGTCCAAATAATTAAGTTAAGAATGAAAATATCGACTCAGCAAGTAGCGACAACAAATAAGACCCCTAAGGTTTGTAAACATATTCAGCGCCGAAATTAACGAATTTATAACGAGAACAGAGACATATTTTAACCTTCTCAAGTTTTCGATTTTTTTAAAGGTAACTTTCAGGCTTTTAAAATGTCATAAGCTTAAGTGCGCCTGCGCAGTCTTCCACCATGGACTCCCTATGTATTTTTCTGATGAGGTTGAATATTAAGGATTACTTCCTCCTCTGTCCTACAGGTGACGCTTATTGTCAGGACTGTTTCATTTATAGACAATATATATAAGACGATAGACGAATTGATTTCAAAACACCTGACCTGAGTGATCTGGAATTCTGGAATAGCAGATTTGCACGTTGGCGTCATTTGGCTACAACTACCAGAGTTCTTTTCGTTTTTTCTTTATTATTTAAATTTTGAGTTCCCAGTGGGGTTTAAATAACAATTGCCCTAATTAGCATAACAAACAGAAAAAGTGAAGGATTCTGGTAGTTGTAATCAAATGACGCCACCATGCAAATCGCCTATTATAATCCCCTTTCGTAAATATTTAATGCATTCTCCAATGAGGAAAGTTGCCCGACTTCAATGCCTTTCCCCATTGAACATACATTTCAGCACAGTACAGTTTTTCTCACCTGCTGAATCATGCTTGGTCAGTTCAAATTAAGGCGAACCAGCCGTATGCAAGAAATACACTGCATTTCACCCCCTACGTACCCCTTTTTTTCTTCCTAGCCTGTTCCATGTTTACCACCAGATGGGGAGCAGCACAAAAACAGCGAGAGATTGAAAGGTGGTAATGACTCACTTATTTTTTCTCTCTCCGTTAGAGGACACAGAAAAGGGAAGAGCATATATTACCCCACATCACTAGTTGTTGTCTACCTTGATTTCCTGGGTTAAAAGCATAAATGTTTTCTTCATAGGGCTATGCAGGCTATACTTGGTATCGTTTTCCTGAAAGCTACTCATAAATCGAGAAACTTTAAGCTTATTAGATTCACAGTTGTAGCATGTGAAAGCTAGCTATGTAACCGTATACTCGGCCTGGGGCTCGTAGTTTTACATGTCACTCCAAACTAGTTCCCAGGGTCTCTTCTCTAATACGTGGCTTCGGCTTCTTCATTTGTCAATGACTATCAACGACAAATGATTATCTAGCTCAACACCTTGACACTTAACTAAAGTCCTACTACTACTACTACTACTACTACTACGACGACGACGAC